TTGACATAACACATATTTTTTTGTGTTTGAGCCCTGCTCAAGAAAATCAATGAACACACAAAAATACACCATAAAAATAAGAAGGGGAAGGTGGGGTACTATGGGACGGATTTTTTGAACACGCAGCGTGGAAGAGAGGAATGCTGTTAAGCAGGAGAAGATATGGGGACCATATAAAGTAAACCTCGCTTTTTCAAACCCCATTTGAAAAATGTCAACTTTCCGTGCCGAAATATTTTAATTTGTTTTTTGAAAAAAATGTTGCATTTGTCCCATTGTTCCTGGCTGTTGGGTACAATGGGACACCCGTGGGGACGAATGGGACACATGCGATTTTGGACGGAAAAATGCAAGGACAATGTATAAATGAGAACTTAATTGGAAGAAAATGGCATTTTAATGATAGTAGGTCTATGAAAAACAGAAAAAGTCGACTTTTTAGCCTTTAAAATAACAAATAAGTTTATCTTGGCTAAACAGTACGATGCGCCCTAACGAAAGAGTCCGATCTGCTTTGCTGCTGAACCAAAAGAGTCCGATCTGAGAGATACGGCAAAACGGATTAAATTTTCGTCTATAGGGTCGCGAAATGATGTTTTTACCGCAACGAGCGCATTTTGTTTAATGGTGTTTAACATTTTTGGCCTCGGTCTCGTGTCCCATTGTACCCCACAATTTAGTGTCCCATTGGTGACGCGGAGCACGACCGCACATTTCGGGCTCTGGTGGGAAAACCCCACCTTCTAGAAAATTCTGCACAAGCCCAAATCGTCCACAGAACCCCACTAATGAATACCGAACACGGATACAACGATAAATGTAGCTAGTGTTTAGTCAAATAGGAAAGAAAAGAAGTAAAAATATTATTTTTTTGCCTGTTTTATTCTACTTTAAACTTCTCTCGCCTCTAACACCGGACTGCCGCAACGGGTAACTAACCACCCTATATTAAAACACTCGCTGACCCCAGGAGAAAAAGATGGCAACACGCGCGTGACTCCTCGGGCAACCGTGGCGCGGATTTTGAGTGTGTCCCATAGTTCCCCGTGTCCCATAGTACCCCACCTTCCCCAACGCATTTTTTCGGTGTCCCTGACGACCCCGTTCAAGCAGGCAGCACCAGTCAGGCCGCTGCGACCGCCATCACGACTGCAAAGTTTAACTACGAAAGTCAAGCATGCGGCGTGATCCTCGATCATCCCGTTCTTATGGTACTTAGCAACTTAGCACCTGTCAAGCGTGACGCCGTGTGGGGCGTGGAGTGACGCGCGGCGCCGCTGCGCGATAAATACTCGCCCGTGCTGAATATTAATCGCGGCGGACGAGAAGAGAAAGAGAAAAAAAGTTCGCGAGGTGGCGCGCGCGAGCCAGTAGAGTTGGGCGTTCGATCACTAAACGCGTCGTTATTCATCATCGGCGAAATAAAAAGCGGTTGTGTGACATTCCAATACTTTGTAAGTTAGCCGCTAGAGAGGGTGCAACAACCGCGTCACACGCGGGGAAAAAAATGCAAGGTTTACACAAGGTTTAGAGTTAAAATATTTTTTTTTTTAAATCACGCACGCCCGCACTTAAAAATGAAACGAGAAAGAAACTTTCCCTCTGGCACGAAACGGTTGTTGGAGCTTGCTACCCGGCGATAGATATTTTTCTCGGTCTGGTAGAATTAAAATGCACCTCATATATTATCATAATTTGGAAAGTGAAAAGGGGGGAAACGGCTAGTTCAAATACATGCAATAGTGACATGTAAATACATCACCTAGAGGACTACGCAGTCAGTGAACTACACAAGGCACGCGACACTTGGCTGCCAGCGCTGGCGCCAGGACTGCAGCCAGGACAGAGTTAGCCCAGACAGTGTGACACACCCCTGTGTGCGTGGCGGGGCGCGAGTCACGAGGCAGGCAGCACAAGGGGGCGGCGATTCGACGAGGGAATACACAAAAATTCAGGTCGAAGAAAAGGATGCGGGATAGGGGTGAGGAGATTTGTGGACATATGAGGCATGAGGAGAAATAAGTAGATAAAAAAGGAGATGAGAGGGTTACTCTGGAAACTCAAGATGCAGACTTTGCCAAACAATTTTACAGGTGCTACAGCTTATGTACTTGGTCGCCTTTACGAATGTGCCATGCCAAAGCAGGCGCACAACCAACATTTTGCACGTTTAGGGCGTGAATCACGTAATTCTCGGACGTGTCATCACGCTGGATATGAGCGAAGCAGGTCTCACCTCACCACAGAGTGCTGATGAAGAGGGGAGAGCGGGATGGGGGGGAAATAAAAAAGGGGGGGGGGGCGAGGACTGCGCGGGCCATCCACGCGTGCCCAGGTGGACAGCGACCAGGTGGACACGCATGACGGCCAGCTGCAGGTGCACGCCCCGCCGCCCGGCACGCGCCATCGCCATGAGGCATCCCCACAGGCATCAGGTGGTGCCGGGCCCGCGGCCGGGCCGGCTGCACAGCAGAGACACCGACCAAACCAACGGGAACTTATTCAACTTCAGCAACCTCCACGAAAAGTCATACTACAAACGGCGGTAGTAAGACACAAAATAATGCACATTTCAAGGATTTGTAGGTTTGTAGCCTAAAATTTTCAAAAAAGTATTGTTGTATATTCCGATATATTACTCCCTCCCACCCCCACCCCCTACAAAAAGGAAAATCGGAAGAAAAATTAAATACTTCCAGGAAAATGTGAAAAATTCCAGCTTTTCAGGGGAAAATTAAGAAAGAAAAATCTTATAAAAACGTTTCCTTGAGCAGTACTTTTCTGGAAAATTAGAATCAGAATCCTTCAATACGCTGCTCTATGATACACGCTGGAATCACAAGGCTCAAGAGGATGCAATAAAAGCCTTGCCAATATGCAAGGGCCTGCAGCCCCGACGCAAAAAGATTTGTTTGCTTTTGGTATGCTTTCTGTACGCTATCGGTTCGCGGAGGGTCGCGCTCGGTGCGCCGATGGGTTGCCGAGGTTCGTCAGGCTCCTGGGCGACGTGTCGCCAACATTCGCCGGAGGTTCGCGCCGGAGCGACCTTTGTCCGTCATCGAGTCGCTCCATGCGCGGACAGAGCGACCTGAGTATGTTTTCAAG